TGAGCTGATAAAATTAGATGGAGGTGAAATTCAACAGTAATCTACACTCTGGGTATCATTGACCTCAAACTGTGCCTAAGAGCCCCATCCATTGCAGCCTGCTTACCTGTTCTCCCAGCATCTACCAAATCCTTTCTTTCTTTTGTTTTTAAAGAGTTTCGGATTTATTATTCTGGTGGTTCAACAGTAAAGAATTCACCTGCAATGCAGGAGATGAAGTTTTGATCCCTGGATCGGGAAGATCCCCTAGAGAAGGAAATGGTAACCCACTCCAGTACTCTTGCCTGGGAAATCCCATGGACAGAGGAGCCTGGTGGGCTATAGTCCATGGGGTCACAAAGAGTTGGACATGGCTTAAGGCCTAAACATGTGTGTGTGTGTGTGTGTGTGTGTGTGTGTGTGTGTGTGTGTATCCTGTGACAAAACATAATGGAAAATACAAAAAATGGAAAATTTAGTTTCTTGTTCTATATAGTGCTTGTCTATAGTTCTGTATGCTATATAGTGCCCTGAGTACTCACTCGCTCAGTCACTCATTGTTGTATAGCAGGACCATGCGGTTTATCCATCCTACATATGAGTGTTTGCATCCAAGATCCTTTTTGAGGTGAGGGCCCATGGAGGCTCCAGTCCTAGCAGCCATGTGAAAGTGACACCAGGATGAGTATCAGCACACTAGACCAGGCTTAGGCATTTGCTTATGTGAATACCAGTGCCACCAGGGACAGTTCCTCCAGATCTCTGGGTCTGCTAGAGCCTGGATCTAAGGTTGGTTTATAGGAACCATGGAGGGCAGGCTTTCATTCCAGGAGCCTCCCAAACATTATCACTCAGAGATCCTCAGGGCTGTGAACAGTGTGGGCAGGGCATGGTCCACTCTGCTTGGGAATGGACAGATGGCAATGTCAGGGAGCCAGGCCCCTTGGGGAATATAACTGGCACTTACACCATCCATCAGTGAGAAAGGAATCTGACCTTAGTGTTGAAGCAGGGACCTGGAGCCCACTGCAGTGCCTAGGATTAACCCTTTAATTTCTGAATTTTGAGAAGATAACAAATGGGTTCCAGAGTAGCAATGGTTGGCAAAAGCACTCAGAGGGCTCAAAAATGTGGCTATTTATCAATGATGTGGGGATATTTTAGTATTTTAACAACTGATACGGCTATAGCTATGCATATGGTTGGATATCTGCTCTACTCTAAGTTCAAGTAAGCTGAAAATGGATTTTGTAACGTGGAGGTCACTGGTCTTTTGGTGATCCAGTGAAGGTATCCAGTGAGTTTGACTGAATAGGTACAGGGAAAAATGCAAGGAAAACTGGTGACTCTTCCAAGGGGGTTTGCTATAAAGAGGAGAAAAGAAATGGGGTTGGAGATGAGGGGATCAAAAGAGGCTTTTCTTGATTGACATGTGCACACTGCTATATTTAAAAATGGATAACCAACAAGGTCTTACTGTATAGCACAGGGAACTCTGCTTAATGTTATGTGAAGCCTGGATGGGAGGAGTTTGGGGGAGAATGTGTGCTCAGTCACTCAGTCGTGTCCAGCTCTTTGTGGCCCCATGGACTGCTACTTGAGCCTGCCAAGCTCCTCCGTCCACGGAATTTTCCAAGCAAGAATACTGGCATGGGTTGCCATTTCCTACTGAGAGGGTCTTCCCCATCCAGGGTTGAACCTGAGTCTCCTGCATCTGCCTCATCAGCAGGCAGATACTTTACCACTGCGCCACCTGGGAGCACCTTGGGGGAGAATGGATACATAAATATGTATATGTATGACTGAGTCCCTTTGCTGTCCACCTGAAACTTTCACAACATTGTTAACTGGCTATACTCCAATAGAAAATAAAAAGTTTAAGGAAACAGAACTTTTTTATAATAGAATTAATAGAATGTTTGTGTGTTGATGAGATAGCTTTTGCAGAGACATGATGCCTACCTTTGTTTATCACCCAGGAGTTGTGTGTGGGATGTACTAAGGCTACACATGTGTTTGGGGGGTATTTTTCTTGGTTTTTCTTTGCATTATTTCCATTATGAAGTACCAGGCATCCCTCTCAAAGTTATTTTTTCTTCTCTTGTTATAGATACTGCCCCAGTTCATTTCTGGGAATTTTTCTCTACCTCTATTTTTAGTGTAAAGTCTGCTTGATAAATCAATAAGCACTTAGATAGCCTTCATATCCTAGATGTGTGCTCTTTTCTTTGCTAAGAGACCCAATACTTCAGCATCTTAAACCAGAATCTAGAAAGCCTAAACCAAATGTCATCCTGTAATACTAGCTTTGCAGATAGATTTTGTTGCCTTCTATCTATCTATCAACATCCATCTATCTATATCTATCAGTATGCATCTATCTCTATGTCTGGGGGCTTCCCAGGCGGCTTGGTGGTAAAGAATCTGCCTGTTGATGGGAGAGGCAGGCTTTCCTAGTGGCTCAGATGGTGAAGAATCCTCCTGCAGTGTGGGAGACCTGGGTTCGATCCTTGTGTTGGGAAGATCCCTTGGAGGAGGGCATGGCAACCCACTCCAGTATTCTTGCCTGGAGAATCCCCATGGACAGAGGAGCCTGGCGGACTACAGTCCATGGGGTCGTGAAGAGTCAGACATGACTGAATGACTGAGCACAGCACAACGCAAGAGACATGGGTTCGACACTGGGGTCAGGAAGATCCCCTGGAGGAGAGCAAGCTAACCCTCTCTGGTATTCTTGCCTGGAGAATCTCGTGGCGAGAGGAGCCTTGCAGGCTAGAGTCCGTGTGGTTGCAAAAGAGTCAGACACAACTTGGCAGCTAAACAACAATAACAACAAAACCTATCTATCTATCTACATCTATCTATTTCCCATCTATCATCTAGTTCTAGAAAGAAATTAAGCTACTTGGCCATTCGTTGAACTAATTTCTTTCCTCAAACCCCAATCTTAACTGAAACAAAAACTATTACTAACCTGAACCCCAAATTTTATAGTTTTTTGATAAGGCATCTTTTCTCTAGAGTATTTCCCCATGTCCCACACCTCCATCCTTCTAGGAGTGAGTTGAAGTGGATGGGGATGAAAGAGTGACAAATTCTATTACCCATCACATCCTGATTCCTTTGCACCAGAAACAGCCAGTCCTCTCCTGCCTTCTCATATCCACCATTTAACGTTTCCTCCATGCTCTCCAGTTGATGGGTTCTTTTTTCCTGGGCCCAGTGAGTGGAGTTCTCAGATTCCACAATACTTGTGAATTCTCTTTATTATCCCACAGAGGATGAGATGTTTCTTCTTTTGCAAAGGTCACAGAAGGAGGCAATAGCAGAGTTTAAGAGCCCAAACTATTGAGAAAGACAAGCCTGCATGCAAGTGTCAGCCCTGCACTGACTAGCTCTGTGCAGCACGCTCCCTGCTAAATGGAGAGGAAATCATAATGCTTTCTTCTCGCTATCGCGAATGTCAACAGAAAAACTTGCCATTCTGAAATCTTTATTTTGTAGTGACCCGCTCAGAAATCTGATTTATTTTATACAATGAAATGACCCTACTTGTAGAATGGTACACTAAAAAAAAAAAAAAAAAAAAAAAAAATCCTGGAACCTAAAAATACAATAACTAAACAATTTCTCCCATTTTTAGTTTCCTTATTCATAAAGTGAGGAGTGAGAGGAAGAGGATTTCTAAGACTCCTCATCGGTTTTTTTTTGTGCTTTCACAGAATTATATTCTGTTCAATGAGACAATGAAGAAACAACTAAAAAATAATTTCAAATAGTGGTAATTACTACAGAGAAAATAAGATTTTATAATAGAGAGTGACTTGAGAGGTAGGAGTGGGCAACATCAGATATGGGGCAATTTCTATAATAATAGATCTCTTACAGTGTGAAAAGAAAAATGTGTATAATACAGTATATAAGCAACCAACAATATCAGTTTCAGATTTTTGTGAGGAAGATTTCTGGGTTTAATGAAATATACAGTGAGGCTTTGGTGAGTGTCTACTGCATGCATTTTTCTTGTCCTCAAGGGTGGATTAACAGATTTAAGTGATTAAGTGATTGTCCTCACTGGGTGGATTACCCTGATATGTCAATGCAGGGCTAGCAGGTACTAGGAAATTGTGACACCCCCCGTTTTTTAATTATTTATTTTAATTGGCGGTTAATTACTTTACAATATTTTGGTAGTTTTTGCCATACATGGACATGAATCAGCCATGGGTTTACATGTGTCCCACCATTCTGAACCCCCTCCCACCTCCCTCACCACTTCATCCCTCTGGATTGTCTCAGAGCATCAGTTTTGAGTGCCCTGCTTCATGCACCGAACTTGCACTGGTCATCTATTTTACACATGGTAATAAGCATGTTTCAATGCTATTCTCTCGTATTGTTCCACCCTTGCCTCCTCCCACAGAGTCCAAAAGTCTATTCTTTACATCTGTGTCTCTTTTGCTGTCTTACATATAGGGTTGTTGTTACCATCTTTCTAAATTCCATACATATGCCTTAATACACTGTATTGGTGTTTCTCTTTCTGGCTTACTTCACTCTGTATAATAGGCTCCAGTTTCATCCATCTCATTACAACTAACTCAAATGTGTCCTTTTTTATAGCTGAGTAATATTCCATTGTGTATATGAACCAAAACTTCCTTATCCATTCATCTACCAATGGACATCTAGGTTGCTTCCATGTCCTAGCTATTGTAAACAGTGCTGCAATGAACATTGGGGTACACGTGTCTCTTTCAATTCTGGTTTCCTTGGTGTGTATGTCCTTATTATTTTTTTTCTCCACAGTAGACCTTGTTAATGCATCACACCTTTTTCCAGCTCTACTTAATGAGGTCTCAGAATCCTTTTCATTGTAATGCTGCAGCAAGACAGTACCAATCACTTAGCATTGGCATGCACATGGAAATCAATTTTCCAACCTTGGAATAAAAGTATTTGTAGAGTTAAAAATATTTCTACACTTAGTAGAATTTAGTTTCCTTTTTTCTCCAAGATAATATCAACTAAAGTGAAACCACCACCTCCCTCCAGAGACATCTTCCTATACCAACTGTGTCATCCTACTACAGCTCCTCCATGAAGTGTGGGCAGGGCATGTCTTACGCCAATCATGGAACAATATTTTGGTTTTAGTCAACGGAGCAGAAACTCTGTTTTGGTAATGTTTCTATTGGTGATAGAAGTTTCTTCTCTGTTTTCTACTTTTTTCTCTTAGTAATCTCTCATTTCTGAAGTTTTCAGAACTGTCATTCCCCTTTCTCTCCTCAGACCAAAGAATGCTAAATTAAAATTAAAAAAAAAAAATATATATATATATTGTTACCCTATAAGGGAGGGATTTGGAAAGGACCATGCTTAATCTATGGGGTTTTTTTGCTTAATCTATGGCAAGAGTTTTCTATGATAGGATTTCAGACACCAAGATCGAAGGGGAGATATGCCACAAAGAGCAGTTTTTCTAATGTACCTCACATTGTACCATTTGGGCTTTATGGCAAAAAAGTGACAAATGGGGTGCACAGTGGGAAACTCATATTGTTCTGGAAAAGAGTTGGAGTTCTTAGATTATGTCTCTGTGGAAGATGTCAGAGTGAAGACCAAAACAAATATTCACACTCAGGTGCAGTGGCATTTAATAAAGTGATTAATCAGTGACATTAAATAAGTTCTCAGGCCATCTTGAAGTGATTAATGTGGGTGGACGGAGGCCAGGATTCATTGGGGGAAGGAATACAGGGGTGTTTTTCTTGATTAAAAATTGCAAGCACTGGTGGTAAAAATCTCATGGGAAGTTTTGTTGGATTGTCCTTGTTAAAAGACATTGATTATTAAAATGTCTCCTCCCCTTCCCTGCCACAGGATGGAGAGGATTACAGCCTCTGGAGGAATGGAAATGTTTGTGAGCAGATTCTGGGCTGGTGTTGGAATCATTTGCAGACACTTGTAGTTCATCTTCTCATCTCCACCCTTTAACCTCTCCTATCTCCTAGGTCAATTTTATTGACCCAAGAATATGGTTGTTATTTGGCAGAAGGGTATTGCTTTCATGATTGCATAGTAGTTAAGTATCTATCTTTAGGGTTATTGGGGATATTTGATGAGATAGATTGTGTAACGTGCTTGGCAGAGAACAAGGTATGTGGCCACTACTCAACGATGTAAGATGTCATGGCTGTGTGCATTACTGTGTTCTCTTTAACACCAGCTCTGATGCTGAAGGAGTCCTGCAGAATCTTTAACCAACAGCTTATGCCCACAGGGCTCAGGCTCTGTGTTCTAGCCCAGCACACTTGAGTTTGCCAGCAAGCATACTTGTCTTATTTACTATTATGTCAAGTATATAATAGAGGCTTGTTAAATGAATCTGATGTGTGCAGACTTTGCAACTGAATGAGAATGAGATGGACAGATTCCACTCAGGCAGAATTCATGCTGCTGGGAAAGGTGGAGGAAGGTGGAATGACTCTGCTGGAAGGCAATCTGGGATTATTTGATCCAACTTCCTACTGAAAGCATGAATCACAATCTCAGCTTCCTTTCAAATGTTCATCTGCTTTTCCTTTAACATGGGATTGGGAGGTTTGGTTGAATGGTCACACTTTTTCTTGAGTAAGAAGCAGGACATGTTCTTGGACAAGTATGCGTGAAATTACTGAGATGTGTGGATTCTTTAGCTGGATCACAGTGGGAGTCTGGGATACATAATTATTCTTTAAACAGAGCAGAGAACAAGTGTATTTGAGTCATACCTGAATTCTGGTCCTGACATTCTCACTGAAGAGGCAATAGAGTAGTTAAGAGGTTGGGCTTTGGAGACAAACTTGGGCTAGTATCAGAGCAGAAAATGTAAGCTAGAGTCCTTCAGTTGCATGGGTTCCTTCTACGGCCCTGGCTGGGGCCCTTCTAATATATTTCCATGATCATATATTTTAGGAAAAAAATGTGTATATATTATACATGTATTTAGATGTAGAAAGAAATGTATACAAAACATACAAAATATAAAAATGTATATTTTATAAATGTATATATATTGTTATTGTACTATATATACATCACTCTCCAAGTCACTTCAGTTGTGTCTGACTCTTTGTGACACCATGGACTGTAGCCTACCAGGTTCCTCTGTCCATGGGATTCTCCAGGCAAGAATACTATAATGGGTTGCCATGGCCTCCTCCAGGGGATCTTCCTGACCCAGGGATCGAACTTGAGTTCGATCTCTTTACATCTCTTTTACATCTCTTTACATCTCCTGCACTGGCAGTGGGTTCTTTACCACTAGCGCCACCCGGGAAGCCCCACTGTAAATAAAATTGCAATTAGTTAAGACTAAGGGCTCTTTCCACTCAGATTTTATGTGACGAGGCAATCAAAGAGTAAACAACCACTAAAACAACAAACATTGATTAAATGGCTATATATATATTTAACATACAAGTATATATAAATATAAAACATACATATCAAATTAGTTTCAAGTGTACAACATATTGACCTGACAATCAAATACATTACAAAGTGCTCACCATGAGTCCAATAACCATCTGTTACCATACACAATTATTATAGAATAGTGGACAATATTCCTTATGCTATGGATTAAGCCCTGTGACTTATTCATTTTATAACTGGAAATTCGTGTCTCTTGACCCCAACACCTATTTTGCCAAACCTTCTGGCAGCCACCAGTTTGCTCTCTAGATCTTTAAGTCTGTTTTATTTGTCATATTGTTTAGACTCCACATATAAGTGAGATCACTATTTTATATTGTAATGGGAAATATTTCAGAATGTACAGCAAAGGGAAAATAGAAAAATACAAATATAGTTAGAGAGCTCAACACCCCCTCTCAAAAACTGACACCACATGTAGACAGATCATCATTGTTGATATAAAACACTTAACACTGTCAACCAGCTAGACACATTTGACATTTATTAAACTCTTAGCCAATATCAGTAGAAAACATGACACTGCTTTGTTATGTGTCAACTTGGATAGGCTGAAATACATTTCCCAGAATATTCAGTCTTTTATATTTCTGATTGTGACGGGCCACAGGGAGATTCTTGCGAAAGAGTTAGAAGGTGGAAATTAAGCAGCAGCATACTGCTGCTGATCTGCTGAATCAACTTGGCATTAAGGCAGCAGGCGGATTGCAATGATGCCAGCATCCCCTGGATATGCTGCCAGTTTCTACAACACCTAGAGACAGACAGGCATAATGAACTCCAAGACGAAAGACTTCAGTTCTGCCAGATATCCGCATCACTGTGTCAGAGGCGACAAGAACAAATATGATATTTCTGTCCATCTCATGGGTTTTCACCTCCTGATACTGGCCCCGATTTGTCCTGGATCTCTCTCTTTACATCCATCGTCCCTTCCCATCTGTCTTCCCAGTGGTCTGTAATCTCCAGCTGGAGGTGTGAAGAGTGAACCTTACTGAGTCAACTTCCACAAGTGAGTAAGCTCAAATTGCTGTTACATATCCATATATATGTTGTTCTTCTTTGAAAAAAAGCCTCTCTGTTATAGTTAAACACCCACACACACAAAGCAAAACCCCCAAAACAGAGAATAATAACTCCATAAAGCATGAGGAAGGAGGAGATAGAGATGCGTTAGGGAGTTAATAATAATAAGTTAATTGTCTGGATTTTGTAACATTTGGTATGTATCAGCTTTTAAAAATGTGTACATTTGTTACAATTTCCTTTCTCCTTCTAAATGAGTTTGACATGGAATTTTGTCTTTATAATTATGTATTTGTTTTTCTTTTTCCCAGAAAACCCCAGAAGATCCAGCCCCAAGGAACTCATATGTGTCTCTGATTGGAATCCTACCACCATTCCCTAACTCTGTGATCTTGGGCGATTCACTTCACCACTCTGAGTCCCAGTTCAATCTGTAAAACAGCACCAATCTGTTAAATAATAAAGCAACACTAATCTGTGTAATAATCTTATGAAACTCCTTAGGTTATTGTGAGGACTAGAATTAATACATGTGAAAGGGATAGTAAATATTAGGTATAATAGTTATTAATACAACTTCCTATTTTCCTACAGGTTGCTGCATCTTTAAAATGGATGTCATAAAATACACTCTGCCACACTGGAATGAGTTTTTGAAGACTCAAATGGTATAATATTCACATGGCTATGAAGGTGTAAGCTTTTTCTTTTAGTCATTGGATGAAGGGCATGTAACCCAGGTCCATATCCCACCTCCTACATACACACACACACACACACACACACACACACAGAAACATACACTCCTCTTTCTAATTCCAACCTAGAATTCACAAGGATTAGCTGGCTTTGCCCATGTACATTATTTCCATTTCAGCCAAGTGACCCAGGGCAGTGCTCTAAGCCTCCTCTAGAGAGCCTAGGTTTGAATTCTAGCTCCACCAGGCCTTGCTTGTAAGATTGGGGTAAGTCACTTAATGTGTTGGCATGTCAGTTTCTTCTCTGTGAAATAAAGGTAATAATAGAGGCCTTTTCTAGGGCTGTTGTGAAGATGAGATGAATCAATACATGTAAAAATCCATATAAAGCAAACAATTGTAAGTTATATTACTGCCATTTTATCAACAGCTAGTGAGTGCTCATGGAGTATCAGCTATTGCTATTCTGTATATCAAGTCAGTTTCTCCTGGTGTCTTAGAGGTTGTTTATGCTAAGCCTTCTCCCAGTTACATGGATGACTATTTGGTTGGTCAAAAAGTAAGCTACAAAACGAGGAAAATTACAATAAAGACTAAGTTTCTCATAAAGCAAATTCTATTATATTTAATTTTATTTAATCATTTTGTTTATGTTCTTCCTACCTTTTTATATTTCATATAATTTTGTTAGTGGTTAATGGTAATTTATTTGTTATTACTTTATCTGGTAATATAAAGAATTGATATTCCTTCTTAAAGAAAATGTATTGGCCCGTGAAATCCAAAAACTTTCTCTGGCTCATGAAATCCTAAATCCTGGGAGTCATTGACTTCTCATTAATTCTGAAATTCTGTAAACATAAGTACTTTTCTAAGGGTCACTGCTTTCAATAAGGTACTGGGGGCTATGCTTAACAAAAAGTTCTATCCATCTTCCTTTATCTCCCTTGATGTTTCCATGGAGCTCCTAAACCAGATGGAGAATAAAAACTCTGGCCCCTTTTCTCCACTCTCACCAGCAGGGGCTTGTAGATAGGCACTCAAATATGAAGCTACCGTGATTCTCGGGACCGTCCATCCACTGGCAGAAAAATGAAAATGAAGGAATTCAGAAGCTCCTTTAGCGTTTTAGTGAAAACAAGGCAATGTCAGTGGATAAGCAGTCCAAAGTGTCTGTAAATCGCTGAGTGTCTGATTCTGGCAAAGGACTCTTGGAGCCAGGACCTCCCTTCCGTCCTTCACACGGGACTCTTCCCTCCCACTCACTCTCCTACTGTAAAGAGTCAGAGCTATTTAATAGTCAAGACCATCTTAAGGCCAAGGACCACCAATTAATAACAACACTTCCCTGAAATTTCACCCCGCCCAACACACCCTTTTTAATCAAAAGAACTGCCCTCCACATCCCTCCCCTAACAGATCCTGGCCTCCATCCACCCACATTAATCACTCCAAGATGGCCTGAGAACTTATTTAATGTCACTGACTAATCACTTTATTAAATGTCATTGCTCCTGATTGCGAAGATTGTTTGTTTCTCATCCCTGTCCATCTCCTCTGGACACCTATTCTCTTGAAAGGCAGAATTAGAGCCCCTGCCGTGTATTGTTTCTTTGCAACCCCATCAAGATCTCAGGACATTTTGAAATGGAATGCATTTCTGCAAAATCATCTGAGCTCCCAGGGAAGTCTTCAGGAGGCAGGTGCGCTCAGCTCCTGACTCCTGTCGCTTTTCCCACTTTCCTTGGCGGAGGTGGGAAATATGGAAACTGAACTGCTTGCAAGCTGACATTTCGGGAGAGCAGCCAGTTTTGTGACCTTTGTTAGGAGAGCAGTGTGTTCAGCTATGGCCTCAGAGAGAAATCAGAAGCCAGCTATTTTTCACAATTACCAGAATCCAAATCTACTATGATCTTCTATCATTTGTCTCATCAAGCCTAAATTTCTCTGCCTGACATCCAGGGCACCCCAGAATGCAGTCTTGTGTATCATGTCTATTATGTCTCTGGAAGGACCTCAGACCAAATCAGGCCCCTCTTGTGATATTTTTCCCTTTGCGTCAAAGGTCCTCGTTGGTGCTATATCCTTGCCTTCTTCCTTGTCTCTCCATATCCACTGGCCAGTCCTTTTCAGACTTAATCATTCATTTATTTAACCCCAAACTATTAGGCTTTTCTGGGTGTTGGGCATTGGGGACTGGTAAACCAGAAGGTAAAGCCTTTGCCTTTAAGGTATGTAGGATTTTGTAGGTGAAGACTGACGTGTGAAAAAGAAGTTGATGAAAGTTTCTCAGGTGAAAAATGTCTGCTCAGGGAACATGGTGGCATAAAGAATGGGGTGGGTAGGTCTTCGGGGTGCAATAGGGAAAGGTTTCATAGCAGAGGTGGCTCTTGATGTGGATTTTTGGGGGAGGACTGGGTGTGCTCCAGGTGGCTAAGCAGAAGTTATGTTATTCATCTCAGAGCTGTGCCCGGGATGGGGCTGGGTTGGGGGCTCCATCAGGGACACCTACCATGCAGTCCTGGAGCCAGTCTGTGTAATGTGAGTGTGAGTGTGATGTCTGTTTCCTATCCTAACTTTTAGGAGCCTCGGTGCATGTATCCAAGGCAGTATGTGAGGCAATGAGGCTTATTAAATGTTCACTATGGGAAATATAAGAGAAAATTAAAAGAGCAATTTTAGGAGGGTATAATTGTTTTCCATACACCATAATTACAACTGCTTGTAAATGCTGCGATCGTAAACGAATCTGCCTTTTAGAGTTCTCTTAAATTCTCTTGGTAATGAACAGACGCTCAAGAAAAGGGACTCATGCCTCCTTATAGAGAAGCTGGGGTTGCACTGACCCCTGGTGTCTGCCTTGAGCAGAGGCCTCTAACTGCGGGCACAGAACTAGATACTGGGCTTCTTAATCATCCTGTCCCTGGCTTCAGAAAGGCCCAAGAACCCTTTAGGTCCAGAAGTGGATCTTAGAATCTCAACCTTCCTAGGTCTTCTGAAGTCATTTTCTAATATTTGTCTTCAATTCTATTTCCCCTCTCGCGCTCCCTCCCTCGACAAAAGCTGCCACTTAGAATCCGAATGTCTTTTTTTTAAAAATCATTTTTAATTGAAGGATAATTACTCTACAATATTGTGCTGGTTTCACCATACATCAGCATGAACCAGCCATAGGTATATGCATGTGCCCCTGCTCTTGAACCTCCCTCTTACCTCCCGCCCCATCCCGCCCCATCCTGCCCTATCCCGCCCCATCCCACCCCATCCCGCCCCTCTAGGTTGTCACGGAGCACTGGTTTGAGCTCCTTGAGTCAGACAGCTGTCAGCTTTACGTATGGTAGTGTATTTGTTTCCGTGCTACCCTCTCCATTCGTCCCACCCCTGTGTCTGATGCTTCCTTTCCTTCCCCACTGTACTCAAGTCTCCAAGCCAAGAGCTCCTCCGTCACTGAGGCCTCCTGATTGCACCTCCTACAGAAACGCCCCCATCCTTCCACTGTTTGACACCAGGACACGCTGCTTGCTTTGTAAGCAACATTTTCCTGACTGACTTCCCTTCTCCAGACTTTCTGTCACCAGGGATATCTCACTTGTGGCTCACTAAATTTATTCCTCAACTAACCTTTGATGTGCTAGGAGATTGCTGTTAATTGCTTCTGGTAAATAACTGCATGAACTTAGGTATGTCACTTGGGCAATCTAGGCATCTTATAAAGTGAGGGTTTGGTGGCAAGAAGAATATTTTTCCATCTTTTCAATCTGAGGACTTACACTATTAGTTCCCTCTGTACTGTGCCCTTTTCCCTAGCTTCAAAAAATCTCTTCTAGCGAAATAGACTCCCCGATTAAAGAAAAGTTTGTTACTCATCTCTTTTCTATCCATCAAAGACATATTTAACTGCTATTGGACTATAAAGAGTCAATTTAATTATAGGCAAAGATAAAATACAAAATTAAAAATGCTGATATTTTATCTAGCCTGTGTAGCCTTATCATGAGTAAATCTAGCGTTTCTGTTAGTCATCTTGAAATATTGAGAGTAGCACATAGCCTTGTATTATAGCCGTCATAGATCCCTATGATATAAAGGGATGCATTGAAATAAATAACCACAAAGGTCACACTAGCTCTGAGATTCTAGGCTTCTCAGTCTCTTATATCTTAAATCCCTTTTGGCATTCCCTGTAGCGTACATAGCCCATTCCTCTTTCATGGCACCTGGTCCATAAATAAATATTCCATCATCAATGCCAACTCTAATTAATTAAGTTGGGAGGAGCTGCTACTTGCAAATTGAGCATGTATGTTGAGAGAGCTTAGAACGAATTAATTTCACATACATTTAATGATTTCTTATTTAACGCATATAATTAAGCATTTTTAGTAGAGCATAAAGAGTCTAATTAATATTAATTTTTATATTGCCAAATCATATTTCTAATTTTTTCTTTGTTGGTCCTTTAATATCTGAAAATTGCCATTTTCCTTTGATGCTATGCCTCATTCATCTTCCTTTTCATCTCCGTCATCATCGTCTCATCACCACCACCGTTACCATGACAGATAACCTCAGGCAAAGGCCTGTGTTCTCCAACCAAGTCAATTTCCATACACGCTATAACTCCTATTTCCCCATGGAGCAAATCTAGCTTATTAAAAGATCAGGCTATCCAAATTCTGTCTAGGCAACCTTACTGCTTTTGGGTACATACATATGTACCAAGTGTGTGATCTTTGATGGGATGGTAATCGTGGGAGGTGAAGTAAATTTAAAAACATATGG